AGGTGACTGTTTTAAATTACCAAAAGCACAGTGTCAAATCTTGACTTATTTGAAGTATTTAGTCATGACTCCGAAAGTGACATTATCATCCTTTGCAAGAGATCATGAATCATTAGTGATAGCAGTCATGATGAATTTACTGAAAATGCCCCCGGTGCCTTGGGAATGACTCGAATAATTTTCCTGAGGTATCCGGTCCAAAACATATCCTTGCTTCTGATGCGAAACCAATTGAATATTTCAATATATCTTTTTCGGTTTCGTTGTTCACTACAGTGGTCATAGAAACGAATCGCTATGTCGATCAGTTTTTGAATTTCAGAAAAGACTTGAAGCGACGATTATCTCTAGTAAAAAATTAGGATTCAATTTACTTCGACCATTACTGATGCTATAGAGAAGGTATGGTCGGCAATGAAAAATATTCAAGGAACGCAGCCTACAAGTAAAAAGTTTCTGTTGGACAAGTTGTCCGAGTGAAACTTGCGGCAGTGTGTCGAATGCAGTAAAAAATGGTAATGGAAAATACTATTGTAATGAATGAGAATAAAAAATATATTTATTGGTAGAAACAACTTTTTATACAATGTACACCTAATTAGCATAAACTATTACTGTTTTTATTATTGTTCCAAATAACAAAACTACGCATTTTATTCCGCATTTTTAGCATATACCCAAGAAAATTTTTCAGCACTCAAACGATTAATTCTTTTGCCATGCTTGCTAGCCAATGCTCATTTCCTACCAAATTTTCTAAAGAATTTAAGTATTCAATAATTTGCTCAACATCACGTAAAGATCCTGTGTGTTTTCTACTGCTACTTGCTTGAATATTAAACCTATTTTAGTTATTTTGCTGTCTACTTATTGCTTGTTCTACAGATGGCTGGTCTATATTAGTTAGTTCCTTTTTTTGTAAAAAAAGATTCAAGAAAATCCATCGTTGTTTTATGATTACTTTCTGATTCTATAATTCTCTCATCATTGCTTAAACCTTTATTTTTTACCATTATTTCTCTGGATTTACTCAAGCTTTCATAATTTGCAGTACTTTCTTCTGGAAATTCAGCATTTATCAAATGTTTTTTGCAGAGTATCAGCTCATAACTACCCGTATTATCCTTACGCGCAGTCCTACCCTTAATCTGCGTTTCTTCTTTTATATCAAGGGAAAAGAATGTCTGTATAACATGTATTCCACCATTCTTTTCCACAACCATACTGGACTTAAAATCAACTCCACGACCCATACCCCTCGTTGCTAGTGTTACTGTTTTCGTAATTCCTGCTTCATCAATATACTTCTCTTTAATTGGCTTCCTCGTGTTTTCTGTTAATATGTGCAAGCGATCAAATTTACTGAAAAATTTCTCTTTAAATTTGTCTATTTCAACATCTCTATCGAAAAATATTAACACTGATTGCCCTGAGCCAATCTTAGAGTTTGCACGACTATAAATTTTATTGAGCCATTCTTCCTCTGAGTCTTGACACATAAAGTCGTTGTTTTTATCAAATTGTAAATTAGAATGACCAAAAAAAGATGGCATTATAGAATTTTTATTAATGCTATAAGATTCTTTTATCGCTTTCCTTTCATGGGCATTCAGCATACTTAAAGTACCAGTCACTCCTAAGATAAGAGGGTATTGCTCAGGCAATTTTGCATAAGACACGTTTCCACAGTATATATTGAAATAACCATAATTTTCACGATTAAAGTCTTTTTTCTTTAATCTAAAATAATTAAACGTGTTGTAGTAATCACTGTAACTGTGAATAGAATAAATTCCATTATTCTTTCTATAGCTTATGAATCCATCATCATTAATTTTAAATTTATTAATATACCAATCTTTATCATTTCCTTTTGCAACTTGTATTGCATTGTCAATCATTGTGTCAAGATGTTCTCTGTAAAAAGATTGATTATTATATTCTTTTTTAATGATCACCTTATCTTCTGCTTTCAAAAGATAGTATCTTCCAGGTTTAAATCTGAATTTATTAAATTCTTTAAAATCTTGATCTCTTTTTCCTATCTTTTCAGTAATAAAGTCTTCTATCTTATTTAAAATAGTACTTTTTTCATAACTTTTGTCGGCCATTTCCCATATTTTTTCCTGAATACTAGCTAATGCTGGAATACGTATCGTGGTACATGCACCATATGTATTTCCGTAGAATTGATCAGAAAAGAAAACATCTACTTCATCTATTAGCAAAATAGTATTACTGATATCTTTTTTCTTTATCTGCCCACTTTGTTCGACATTGTGATTTAAAATACGACCTTCAACTAGTTCTCGCAACCCTCGCTTCTTGCCATTTACTTCAGGTCGCAATATTTCATTGGCCATTTCTTCAAATGTGCCATACGTTATTTTATTGTGAATACAAAACTGTTCAAAAAAGTCATCAAAATCTTGTTGATCTCGAGTTGTTAAGTACTCGTTGTAACAAACAATCCGTACCTTATGACCCATCAATGCCAACAATGAAGATAGCAACCCTAATACAAGTGATTTTCCTTGTCCTGTTAAGACTTGTGCGAGGTGCTTATCAACACCTTTAGAGTCCTCATCAACGCTCAATAATCGCAGAATACACAATATTTGAATACAATGTGGCTTTAAGCTTTTTCCCGTACTTACAATATCCTCTGATGCTTGTATGGACCACACAGCAGCTAGCCCAGCTAGAAGATCAGGTAAAGTCTCTCTCTTGAATTCTAGATCCCAATTATGGATTTTAATTGTTTCAGATTGCTTCTTTACTTGTTCAGTAATAAATTTGATCTTATCTAGATAATATTTGCCGAGGGTCTGTTCTATGTAAAAAGTAAACTTCTTTAAGTATCTGTTATAGCAATTTTCTAATATTTCTTCCGTCTTTATTGTGCTATTGTTGTTTTCTTTTCTATATAGCTTTAAAGCTTCTTCTATATCAATCTCATCTTGTTTTCTTAAATACCAAAAAGATTCTCCTATGATGTTAATTCGTTTTTTAAAATCCCTATAAGAGTTACTATTCTCTATTACACAAATAAACGGCTTGGTGCTTTCTTCTTTAAATGTATCGAAGGATAAGTAATCAGGTTGCTCAGTTAGATAAAGAAAAGACTTCTTAATTGCTGAAAGTAATTCACTTGCTGCATTTAAATTATCGTCAACCGTCCATTTGTTTTGCCCGAGTAAATTACTTACACCATTTAATAGATCTTGAATGATTTCAATAAGGTAATGATTAGGGATACTGTTGTGTTTTTTTATGAAATTTTCTGGATCTAAAACTTTGTATGACTTTTTCTGTGTATTGACTAACTCTACTCCAGTAAAGTAATTATTTTCTTTAACAAACCAAATGAATTCTACAGCATTTAAATCTTCTAGGAATTCATTAAAAACTCTGGAACAGTTAATTAAACTTTGCGATTTTGATTTTTTATCAAGTACAGTACTTGTAATATTAAGTAATTTTTTACGTATTTCTTCCATGTCTTGTTTGAACTTCCCATAAGGAAATTTATTAGAAAATTTGTCTAAAATAAATTCTGTCTTCTTCCAATATTCATTATACACATCTACCAAGTCTCTAAAATCATCAAATTGTTTATCTAAAAATACCCTCTTGAAAGATTCTATTTGTTTTGTTAAAATAGTTTGTGATACACCCTTTGAAAGATAAGGACTTGTTTGTGCTACAAATCTTACAACATTGTGTGTTGCTACTCGAAATGACTCATAATGAGCATCTTTTGCCTCTTGAATGAAACTCATATAACATTCTAGCAAAGGCTTAAATAATTCAAGACACTTTTGTGATTTTTTAGGAAATAGCTGAGCAATGGCATTGTCAAGAACATATATCCATATTAAACGCTCCTCAGGTTTATCTAAAGACTTATTACTGCTAGCAGGCCAGCTCGTGATATGCTGCCACGATGTTTTATCATTATAACCTTGTAACAATTTGAATTCATACTTAAATTTTTTTTCGTCAGAATAATAACCAGGCTCAAAATGCCTCATCAGTTTAAAAATAAAATAATATTGTTGCTCAAGGGAGCGATATAGAGGGGACGGTAATGGCCAATTTATAGATTTTATCAAGCTCCATTTTCCTTGTTTATTTTTTTTAAGCAAATCATTAACAGAAATATCTGTTTTACCACTAATCTCTAAAATTATCTCCTGAAAGCTCTTACAAAGATAGAAATAATTTGGATGAGTGAGAGGGGCAAAATTTTTCAGAGAGGAACTTACTTGTGAACATCTTGTAAATAAAGCATCCCACGCATCACCTACAAGGTTCAGAAAAGGTTGTTCTCTCATCATATCAAGGAGATCTATAAACAACTGCATATCTTTACTACTGATATAAAATATCAAGCCATCATGCAAATCAGATAAATAATCTACCATAACAGATGGAGCCATTACAAAAATAGACCCATAATATTGGTCCTGCAAGGTATTTCTGTGATTATTTACAGTTTCTTTACAGATTTTCCGTAATTCTGCTAGTAAATCCATTGTATACAATTGATCAACTTTTAAAAAATTTTTCTTTCTTACATCCAGAGCTATTTCTCTATCAAGCAATCGTCGATTTCTACTGTTTGTCTCGTGTGAAATATTCTTATTATTAGCTATTCTCTCTAATATCAATGTATTATTAGAAAACTTTTTCCATTCTTCTAATTTTCTAAAAAGTTGGAAAAAATCTTCTGCATACTCAATATTATCTGCAGTTTTACTGCTTCTATTTTGTAAAAATTGTTTAAATTGCTCATAAGCAGTATTTCTATCACTTAACAATTTGTCTTTTATAATTTCAGTTACCATAAGTTTTTTTAAAATACTTCTTTTCACATCTACAGTAAAACGTTTAGCAAAACTCAGTCCTTCAAGGTCATTAAAGCACACTCTTGCAATAAAATCCTCTTCATCGAAGGTGAATAAATAACCTACGCTTTGCTTCCTGGCATAAACTGTCCTATTACCATCTGGATGAGTAAATTGAAATGAAAATACTTCTATTAACTGATTGTTTTGCCATTTTCCCTCTAGATATTCCCCATTCTTACCCAATAAACTTTTTATTCCCTTCCATTCATTAAAGCTACTTTGATTAGCTCTTGCAGATTGACTGCATTTCCAAGTATGCTGCTTAAAATGTGACACAGTAGGAACAGACTCTAAGTCAGAATCACTTTCATAAGATACAGGTCTCTTAATCTTTGAGGAACTAGGTTTGATCTTTTTACTGACAAAATCTATACTTAAGTTATCACTAGCATCATAGTACACCTCATCAGAGGATTGAATTGAAGAAGACAAAGATTTCCGACTTACCTGCGGATTATTAGACTTCCCTGCGTACATGACACCTCCTATACAGAATTACTAATATTATTAATTTAATATATGTAGTATCGAGAATATTTATTGTAGGATGAATGGTTTGTCGTGCGTGCGTAAGGGCGACCAGGTCATATTGCGACGGGCCGGCGCCGGGATGTTTGGGAAATAGGGTGACTGCGTTTAGACAATTTCGAGTGGCTGAAAGAATGCGAGGAAGAGTGTCTGGAACTGAGCGACTGAACCGTGAGAAAAGTGTGTACGTGACTGCGTGAGTTTTGACCATGGACGAAAGATGCGAGTGAGAAGGGTGCAAGGGTGAGAAAGACAGAGCGAATGGGGGTGTGTGATAAAAGCGAGTGGAAATGCGTGCATGGACACATTTTGGTGAGCGACAGCGGAGTAGAACATTTTTGGTGCGTGAGTCGTGTGTTGTATTTTACGTGTTGTCCGTATTGTTTCCTTTATCTTATTAAATATATTATTGTTTTCCTAATTCTCTTTTTACTAAAGATCCACATTTTCAAATATCATCTAATAGTAAACCTACCACCGATATACTATATATATGTTATTCTTTAAAAAGATATAAGAGATAAAATTTTTATATGTCGGTAAATAAAGTCTTCAAGAGTAAAATTAGGAAACGTTCTTTTATTTACTATTTGACTTTATAAAATAAGCACTTTCGTTTGAATTTAACTAATTTTACTTGTTTCACCCACTACTTATGTAGTCTACCGAATGTCTCGTCTGAACTTTTGTTTATAATAATTTTGCTACATCGTAAGATCAGCTACTACTGTAGCCGTATTTGTATACGAACTATTGGCTTTGTTGTAACAATTTCTCGTTTTTATTTGTATAACCCTATGTTTACGCAATATATTCTCACAAATACACATACTATTTTTCATTTTTGAAGAAAGTACACAACTAAAAATTCTGTGACACTACAGAAACATATATTTTCCTGAAAGTTTGATTTCAAAAGTTCATCGTATTTCTAAAGAAAAACTCTAGTTTATGTTATTTAAAAGCGAAACTAAACGTTCCTACTGTCGTTTTTCTTTTCCGAATGTCTTTGTTTGATTTCCTAAGCATAGACTATAATCTTTTGATTATTATCTAGAAAACCTTCTTCTCAATAGCATACGTGTATTTTAACTACAGTACAGAGTATTGAAACTATTAAGTAAATATGACTGTATTGACAGCTATAAAATTAATAAAGAGGTACAACATGACTAATATAGTTCACACAAATAAAGATGATAGTTTCAGTCTGGGAGGTCTGCAGAAAGCTGTTGATTAACCGCTTGAGTGCGAACCGGCACAATCGCGCTTCTCCGTTATCAAATTGAATTTATTTACTTATTTTTCTTCTAATTATTTATTTTCATTTCACCATTGCACCATTTAGAATTGTTTTATGTAAAAATAGAAAAGCGTAATTCAATTTCTGAATTGAAATAGAAGAAGCGCGATCGCGCCACTTAGCACTTTTCGATCGGGTTTTTACAAAAATCCGTAGGACTCGAACGGTTAATATCTTTTTTCATGGATCAGGCCCAGAAATTAACAGACCAACTTGCGACTTTTATGAAAAGAAAGAAAGCTATTGCCCGTCACTAGAGTTACTGGGTATATCCAAAGGAAACATAGATATGAGCATATCTAGTGTTAATTTAATAGTGAAGATTGAAAAGACACGTCATAACGATAAGGATAGGATAAGCGATTTCATCACCGGGAAAGATAGTATGGCTCTATAGGTGTATTCATTTCCCAGTAAATATAGAGTAAGATATGATATTTGCTAATTTTTCAGACGGGTTATATTATACTTAAGTCGGAAAAGCACATCAAGAAAATTGATGTGAAGTAACTTGTTAGTAGTAGTAGGCTTTTAATCTTAAAACTTACAGTTCTAAGTTAGTATAGACGAAATACCATAAAGTTACACTATTTCTACTGCTAAATTTTTACCTTAGTGTATTTACTATACAGAATGCAGGTGTGTGCCTAAAAAACCTATGCTATAAAAACCTATAAAACCTATGCTGGAGACGGCGACCAGAACCGATGTTTTCGAGACAACGCACGGATTTTTCCCGTAGCCACTGGAGGAACAACGGAATCGGGTTGCCCATAGGAACCGACAGATTCTTCAAAAAACGACGGCATTTTTGTTGAAACTCTCGTACGGGATACTACTTCGATTAGCGCTCGAAAAAGAGTGTCCTCGCAGCGAAATATATTCTAACGTTTAAAATTTAACGCTACTATATGTTTTCCCTTTCCCCACATATACATATAACCTCTGTTCATCCATACTTTCGGAAAAAATTGCAAAAAATTACTGCTGTTACGAACAATAAGTACGATATATACAATAATCTCTGCTTATACGTGCACCTCCAAAATAACGTATGCATCAGCATAAGGCAGCCGTTTATATGTTCATTCTATAAATACATAGCGGCGAACGAAAAAACACAGATATAACGTTTGAACTGTTTGAAACACAAACTACGGTGTTAACACCAGTTTCTACGAAATTGACGTGCCTAGTTTTTTAGAGGGACTTCACCTCTCCTCTATATTAAGCTTTTTCTGTATAATTGCAAATAACCGCCGCACTATGGCGCAAGGGGGAAAAAATGCTCAGACCGATTTTTCTGGAGAAAGTTTTCTTTGATAGTTTACTCATACGAAGCATTATATGTATATCAATTTTCAGCCCTTTATACTTTCACCAGAAGGCCAGTTATAGGATATGAAGGAACGTGATTGGACATTGGATTTTTATCCCAAAAGAAATATCCAAATCAGGCTTACACAGCAGAGCTTATTTCGAACTATGCAAAATGTAACGGTACGATACCATGTGTGAATTGAAGGTCTTAAGTAACGTAACTTGGAGACCGCGCGTAAAATAAATGGCCTTCAAAACGCTGCGCGCTCCTTTATAAAAACATGTCTCCTCTTTGGGAGGGATTTTAACGGCTATCCCCGAATCAGTATTAAAATATTTTTAAGTAACAACTCTCGCAGCGAGTTAGCGGCGTATAGAGTGGACGGCCGTGCGCAAGAAATAAGAACTACATTCTCTGCCAATTTTGTTAAATCCAAAATTTAAGGAAAGCATGTTTCAAAATATAGAAAATCGTGAACATGTAAAATTAGTACTTGTAAAATTAAGATTTTGCAATCAGTAAACGTTAAAAATTATGATACAACACAACAAGCAGTAGGAAACTTGTCGAAAATTAAAAAACATAAAAGTTCATAGCACATAAAGTTTCTATTATCAGTTGATCTTTTCTACTTCTGTTTAACAATGGAGTTCTAATCGTACTCCTGAAGACGCGATAAAGGAATACTTTGAAGACTTATTCCTTCCACTTTCTGATAATATATTTCAGTTTTGGAACGATAATTCGAAGTAACTGAATTTAATCCTTTCATGTGTTAATAAACGAATGAAATTAATGAATGTACATGTATATGCAGTTAGTACAAATTTACCTACCTATATAATAAAAATGTAAGTCGTACTACGCAATATATATTCGTGTGCACAAGATCACGCTCTTTCCTCTGAACAACGTAACAGAGTACGAAGAACTAATCATCATTTTGCAGTGGTGGAGGATTTGTAATTCTTATCCGTACCCCACTTCTTACACTCTTACGTTATAGCTTCGCTGACTCTTTTTTTGAACTGAACATTTGAACCAAACAGTTTATATACAAGCGTAATTCTTGTAAAAATTTTTTATCTTTATATCTCGAAATTATATATATATATAGGGGAGACTTAATAATTATATGTAAACGTGTATATATATATACATGTTCTATCGTATGCTGGAATTAGATTTTCTCCTAGACGCTTAATATTTTTAAGATAAGTTGAATTTTATACCTGTAATTTATATAGTAAATGTATTTATAAAAATATTTGCGTTTGTGAATTAATGAAAACTGCATTATCATGAAGTTCTATTGAATAGATACTACTTCCATTGTCTAAATGTACGCGTCTTATAAATTTATTGTTGATAAATCATATGAGACAGTCATAGCAAAAATGAAGTATAAAGCTAATCAGATTCCTGCTACAAGCCTAAAATCCTGTATTGTACAAAAATCCCCATAAGGTGCAACGTCTGTACGCATCTTAAGTCTGTGGCTGAACTTGGATACTTTCTTCAATTTATTGTTAGATGGCGGAAGTTCCAATTTCTTATAATACGCACCATATGATATGATTTGTGAAATCAGTGTAAATGCGAAAGATAGTGTATGTGAAAACTGTCGAAAAGTTACGAATAAAAAGCAACAGATAGGTGTTTAATATATTCATCACTTAAAGACGAGTTTAATAAATGGGAATATACGCATACATCATAAAACTCCAGTTAACATGAATATCAGTTATAAAAGAAACTAATACATTTGTCTAATACCAGGTAAATCATGTCGCATCAATCATTATTTTTGGAAAATGTTACAGATCATGCTTATATTATGTATTCTGATTTTTAATCTGCTGGTAACAATACAAATAATATTTCCAATGAGACTCTATTGAAGGCAGCGCAGAACGTTAACAATAACACATATAAAGAAACTAATAAATGTATTATACATTGGATAATCAAAAGTTTAATTTAATATTTCTAATGAGACATTGTCCAAGGCAAATCTGCAATTTAATGACATAGAAGAAGATAATAGTGAAATTATTGTGCATAAAATAAATAATACATATGCAGTTGCACAGAATCAACATGATAATATAATTAACAAACTATTATTGAATGAAAGAGTATCACTTTCCAGAAAGACTGCAAATGCTACAAAATAACTCAGTGGTATATGTGGTTTCAAAACTCTTAGTAGTAGTATTACCAATGCAGCTTTGACTAAGGCAATTAAGAAGTTTAATGACATAGAGATTGATAATAATAAAATTATTGTCCCTACAGCAGTGAATAATACGTATGCAACTATACAGAATCAACATATTAATGTAATAAACATGTTACCATTAAATGAAAGAGTTATATTTTCAAAGAAAACAGCAGAAAGTATAACGGAATTCAATGATAGATGTGGCTTCAAAACTGCCAAAGGTGCTTCAATTAATATCTCCAATGAAGCTTTATTCAAGGCGAATCAGCAATTCAATGATATAGAAGTAGATAATGATAAAATTATTGCGTGTACAGCAAATAATGCATATGAATCTATGAAAAATAAGAATATTAATATAATGAACAAACAGTTATTAAATGAAAAAGACATATTCTCTGATGAAAGAGCAGTGTCTACAAAGAATCTCACGGGTTCATGTGGCTTCAAAACTGCCAAAGGTGGTTCAATTAATATCTCCACTGAAGCTCTGTTCAAGGCGAATCAGCAATTCAATGACATAGAAGTAAATAATGATAAAATTATTGCGTGTACAGCAAATAATCCATATGAATCTACAGAAAATCAGGACAGTACTGTAATGAACAAACAGTTATTAAATGAAAAAAACATATTCTCCGATGAAAGAACAGTGGCTACAAAGAAATTTGCTGGTTCATGTGGCTTCAAAACTGCCAAAGGTGGTTCAATTAATATCTCCAATGAAGCTTTATTCAAGGCAAATCAGCAATTCAATGATATAGAAGTAGATAATGATAAAATTATTGCGTGTACAGCAAATAATCCATATGAATCTATGAAAAATAAGAATAGTAATATAATGAACAAACAATTATTAAACGAAAAAGACATATTCTCCGATGAAGGAGCAGTGTCTGCAAAGAATCTCTCTGGTTCATGTGGCTTCAAAACTGCCAAAGGTGGTTCAATTAATATCTCCAATGAAGCTTTATTCAAGGCGAATCAGCAATTCAATGATATAGAAGTAGATAATGATAAAATTATTGCGTGTACAGCAAATAATCCATATGAATCTATGAAAAATAAGAATATTAATATAATGAACAAACAATTATTAAATGAAAAAGACATATTCTCTGATGAAGGAGCAGTGTCTGCAAAGAATATCACTGGTTCATGTGGCTTCAAAACTGCCAAAGGTGCTTCAATTAATATCTCCACTGAAGCTCTGTTCAAAGCGAATCAGCAATTCAATGATATAGAAGTAAATAATGATAAAATTATTGCGTGTACAGCAAATAATCCATATGAATCTATGAAAAATAAGAATAGTAATATAATGAACAAACAATTATTAAATGAAAAAGACATATTCTCTGATGAAGGAGCAGTGTCTGCAAAGAATCTCACTGGTTCATGTGGCTTCAAAACTGCCAAAGGTGCTTCAATTAATATCTCCAATGAAGCTTTATTCAAGGCGAATCAGCAATTCAATGATATAGAAGTAGATAATGATAAAATTATTGCGTGTACAGCAAATAATCCATATGAATCTATGAAAAATAAGAATAGTAATATAATGAACAAACAATTATTAAACGAAAAAGACATATTCTCTGATAAAGGAGCAGTGTCTGCAAAGAATATCACTGGTTCATGTGGCTTCAAAACTGCCAAAGGTGGTTCAATTAATATCTCCAATGAAGCTTTATTCAAGGCGAATCAGCAATTCAATGATGTGGAAGAAAATGATAGTGAACTTATTATGCATACTACAAATGCTATGCAATTTGAAGATAGTACAAGAAAAAAGAATACTGAATATAATATACATAGAATAAATAGTAAATTTCAAGCTGTGGGTGATAAGTATCTTATAACTACAAATCATTCTTCAAAAGATTCAAATATGTTATTAAATTTATGTTCTGTGAACAATAATACAGTTCATGCATTGGAAATGGGTAAAGTAGAAAATAAACAAGTACTTACTAATGATGAAGAAGACACAATTATGTTTAATATGTCTGAAATGCCCAAATTTCAAACTGCAAATGGTCAAAATATAAATATTAGGAAAGAAGATTTACTAGAAGCAAGAGCAATATTTTATGATAGAACTATAGAAAATTGTAACAATGATCCATTGTTAAATAAATCATTGCCGAAACGCAAGATTAAAGATTTGGATGACACATCTATTGGCAAGGAAATAATATCTAATCAATTTAAGAAGTTACGGTTTAGTAACCAGTTTCAGGTGCAGAAGACTGTTTGCAAGCATTCAGAAAACAGTGATAGAAAGAATCGAGAGTCACCTTCCTTTAAGCTTATGCTTTCAGGCAGTGCCACTAATGAATTGAGGAGCAACATTTATAACACTGAGAAAAATAAAGAGGATAATACTATAGACAATAATCTTTCAGTTACGCATGAAATTGTAGAAAGTGCAGTTGCACTTTTAGCAGATGAAAACAGTTCAGATACCTTTAATCAATGGGTCTCTCCTGCACAAAATAAGGAAAACGATGGTGTTACAAATATACAATTGAGTCCTGTAATAGGAGGACAATTTGTTCTTAAAAAAAGAAAAAATGTAGGCACTCGAAGAAAACATACATATACTGCAGACAGAAAGGAGAATAAATTCATTTGTACATATAACACGAACCAGTTAAGAGATAAACATTTAAATTCAGATTTATGTGTAAAAAAAGAAACATCATTATTAGTAAAAAATCAAGAATCAATGAATAATATAGAAAGACATGATACCTCTGTTGTCAATGAATTTGGTGACACACAATTAATATTAGATTTCATAAATGAATCTGCTAGTATATTAGAAAAACGCTTGCAAACTGCTGTAGAACAAGTAGGTATAAAATTTATGTTTCAAGAATTCGAATAATATTTTATACTTTTTGACATTTGATATCATATTTACAGGAAACACAAGTTAAATTGAAAGAAAAAACCAAGCCACGCTCAACAATTGGTACATTATATTTTCACAGGACTAATTGTAATAATCGAATATCTTGGAGAGAAATTAGCAAAGAGGATGTACCTATTCCATGTACATGCAAGGAGGTAATAATTGAACTGGTTATAATTACTCGTAAATTAAATGGATAATTGCAATTTGTAATTGTTTTTTATTAGCTTATTGAACGAAAATTACCACCTGAGATTTTGGACTTAACAGCTGAAAATGCTGTAACATATAAATTTCGATGTTCAGATTTTTATGGGTAAGAAAATTTAATCATAGGTCGCTCTTATTTTAATGGCAAAGAAAACACAATAAAATAGTCGTTTTCATATAAACAACATAGTAATTATGTGAAATAAAAAATGTTTAGGTATTAAGTAAAGTTTTTATTTAGAATATTAAAAGTGACCAAATACTATGTATAAGTATTTAATATTTGGTAAAGAGATATTTATTTCTTTTATTATGTTCATATTAACAAGTTTTAATTGGAGATTTTCTACTATAGAAGTAGAATTAAAAATTGTTCCTGAAAAAATTTGTACTGTATTTAGGCAGACCACTGTACAAAATAATATCGAAGGTATACAATTGGCAGATGGAGCATGTTTGATTCTTGATGAAAACGGTTATGTAGGAATATCAGAGATTAAAAGATCTTTTCTAGCAAGTCCAGGGGTGGATCCTAACTTATTGCCTACTGGATGGGTAGAAAATCATTATAGATGGATTGTTTGGAAATTAGGGTCAATGGATAGAGTAAGGTTTACTTCTATCCTTTTACCAAGGTATAGATTTTGATTATGCTGATAAATTGGAACTAATAATAAAATATATTAAGTTTATAATAATATATAAGGATTTATTTTAGAGCATTGACTCCAGCTAGAGTGATGATGGAATTAAAGTATCGTTACGATCGAGAAATTGATAGATCTCAGAGATCAGCATTACGAAAAATTTTAGAGAAAGATGACATCGCATCTAAAAGAATGGTTTTGTGCGTATCATCTATTATTGAGGTAATTTCGTCTGTAATATATACAGAACGGTATAGTATTTTAAATAAAATTTTGTATATTTTCTTCTATAGTTTGATAATTCGGCTGCTGTTAGCACAAATTCAAATCATTTAAAGCCACTGTCAAAGAAGTTAATATTAACAGATGGATGGTATAGTATTCAAGCCACTATTGATCAAGCAATGAAAAACAATATTATACAAGGTAAAGTGAAAGAAGGGACAAAACTGATTACTTATGGATCTGAATTGCTACATTGTGATCAAGGATGTTCACCTTTAGAAGTAAATACAATTTTTCATAAATAATTTCGTTATGAAAGATATTTATTTTTACAATGCAAGTAATTAATTTATAGGTTCCAGATAATGTTTGTTTAAAAATTCACACAAATTCAACAAGAAGAGCAAGATGGGATACAAAATTAGGATATGTAGGACCTTCAGGACCAATGTGTATAAAATTAAAAAGTATTTGTCCATATGGAGGTTTAGTTGGAAAAATTAAAGTTCTCATTGCGAGAGTATATCCAATATTATATCATGAAAAAACATCTTCTGGAGAATCTAGTAAGATATAGAATCCTAATATTTTGATCATTAATGGCATATGTAATTATTTATTTAATTCCAAATTTTAGTTTTCCGTAATGCTAGATGCGAGGAAAAAGCTAATATTGTTTATGAAAGAGAATGTCGATTGTTGATAGAATCGTTCTATGCAAAAGCAGAGAAACATTTTTATATGGAAAAAAGACAAAGCAATTCAGATCCAGACAGTATTGATTTGGCAGCAATGGAGTGGACCAAAGACCGTGAGAAATTATTTGAAGAGGTATAGATTCAAATTAAAAATTATATTTAATATGAAATCACTCATTATTATGTAATGTATAAAAGTAACATATGCGTTAGTTACATAAGTTCTGCACACCATTTTATTCCTTCAGTTTATCAATAAATTGCTTTTGATTTAAATACATCTATTAATGCTGTGTTATATTCTCAGTAATTTCAACAATTTAAAAGACTACATTGTAAACTATCTTTTACTAACAAAGTCGAAAGTTTCTATAAAAGATGCATAATACAATGTCTATATTAGTAGTAATAGTTTGTTACGAATAACTATAGAAAATACAAATTTTATACATGAAGATATTTATAAATTCAAATGAGAAACTGAATTTATAACAATATGAATGGGTGGACAGTATTTAAGTAGTAATTAAATATATATGAATCATTATATGCTAATTCGATTACTTTTTATAGATGGTATTATGGATTTTGTTAAAAATGAAATATGATATAATGCACATGATATTTGAAGGAACTTAAGTCATTACCTTACTGGTTTTGAATTTGTTTCTAAAATACAGGCCCGTGAATTTTGAAATTTTTACTTATTTTCATGAAAACAAAAAATAAATTAATAAAGATACAATGTATTTATTTTAATATAAATATTTTAGTCATATAAAAACAATTATTTCATTGAACATTTTTACTTCCAATACGTATTTAAGTGAATACTTTTCGTCAGAAATATCATGTCCCACCTTATTATAGGAATTTCTCTCAAAACAAGAAAAGGAGCAGCTGATGAATAAATGTCGTATGGAGGAAGAAAATTTCAGGCAAAAATTAGAATATAGATTACAAAAAAGCTTGCCTCCTCCAAGACAGATTACACCTGTTTTAAAAATTCGAGTAGTTGAGGAAGAAACAACTGCTATTCTTTCTATCTGGTCGCCAAGTGAAGAGATTACTGATATTTTAAAGGAAGGAAATTGCATATCTGTTTGTAATGTTACACCCTCTGTTAAAAGGTTTTATTTTATATTTTTATTTTACTTATTTTTTTATTTTCTTTCATTACGATTTAATAATTATATGTTATTTTTATTTTAACAGAGGCATTGATTTGCAACTAACTGCCAACCGGAATGCAGTATTTAACCAAATTAATACATCTAATAAACTTTATCCTCAAAGAATGTATACACCACTATATGATATAAATAAGCTCAACTATGATCCAGCTTATGGAGAATTTGATACAGTTGGAATTGTTGTTTACATTGGAAATGAGCCATATGTAAGTATATATTCCTTATTTGTTACTAAATTGTATATAAGTTAATATTGTGGCTTGATGTTACAAAATCATACCTTTTATTAAAAATAATAAATTTATGGATGAAAACTTAAATGAATACTTGTACTCTATCAATTTCTTTTCACATTTACAGGGTATGAAAAATTTTCAAGCTGCATATTTGGCACATCCGAATGCAAATTTTGAGTCTTCTTATTTATCAGTATTGTTTTGGAATGGTATTTCCTCTTATGGATGTGCAGAAATCTTAACTATAGGATCTCCCGTTGCGTGTAGCAATTTAGAATGGCGGCGAGCTGCATTATGGAATTTACCTATGGCGTATTGTACAGAACGAAGCAGCTTTACACAAAATCCTAAACAAAATCATCTTCAACGTCCATTTGAAGCACTGAAATGTTTAATCATGGTATTCAAAAAAATATATTTATTTTTATTTTTCCTAGTGATAACTCCATAAATGTGTAGACATATTTATTATGTCAAATTTAGGATTATTTATTTATCACGCATAAGAAATGTTATTATTTGAACGAACGCTATTAGGTGAATTAAGTTATTTCTGTTCTTTTTATATGAAACGTAAGTCTTTCTTTGTTTAATTAATATTTTCTACTATTCCTTTCTAACTTTTTGCACGTAGTTTTAGCTATTCATTCTTAGATCTTTTTGTTATTCTTTTTTGCAATTATTTCACTTTCATATGTACAATTGGAAAATACAATCTTTTTTATTAATAAATGATTTACTTCACTTTATTTCTAGCTTTATTACTTTTAACTACTACTATTTTATATTAATTTGAGACTGATTTTAAAAGAGTCACTGATTGGTTATAGCCTGCATTTACTATACACTTTTATAGTATTATAGTTTGTATGCTACTATATAAATATAATTTTTCATGGTATCAAATGTATGATTTCTAGGATACCAGTTCATATGTATCCAAGTGTGCAGCAGAAATTTCAGAAGAAGTACGTAAGAAGTCAATAACCAGATCTTCGGACCAATTGACGCCAGATAAAAATCATTTGGATAAAATTTCATCAAATAAAGATTGTAATTACACATTTCAAGAGACTTCGGAAAGTAGTTTAGTGAATAATACATCAGTAAAGTCTATTGCTATACAAAAGCGACTTGAGAGATTACAGTGTTATGGTGAAGCATCGAGTTTGTCTCCTATTGTGCTCAATAGTTCTAAACGAGTATCAGTAGACTTTCAATCACCTGTTCGAACATCAACTGTGAAACAAACAAAAGCGCACATGTCATTACGTACAAAATTTTTTGACAATTCTAGATGATAATTTGAAGGATTATTTGTAATTTAATATTTAAAGAAATCTATCAGTTTATAATACGACTGTGAATGTTCAGATTAATTTACATTTTTTATAGACTGATTAATGGAATAGAAGCCAGGGGGTAATTGTTTCTTCTATCAAAGAATTGTTAAATTATACAAAAAATAAAAGCGTTATTTGTGCTACAAATATATAAACATTTGAAGTTAATTTATAACAATTTTATGTAATATATTATTTTAAGAAATTTGTATAAAACTAGGTTGAAGGACTTACATATTTAGTTATACTATACTATTTAATTCTAGTTTTGAGCATTTAGTTTTATAGAATGTATTGAAAAAGAATAACAATCAATTATACTTAATTATATTTTTATATTTAAATAATGTAAATTAATTTGTATTTATAATGAAAGTAAGCTATACCAATGTACATATTTTTAAAGTCGATTTTTCCGAAACAAATAGATGTTTAAAAAGTAACCCTTAATACGTTGTCTACTACGGGGGTTATTGACAACTAATACTTCCTAATTGTTTGAAAACAATTACAACGTCTAAAATGATTGAAGTCAAAGAGAAATGTTTAATAACATAAGTAACTAGTTAATAGCGTAACTTAAGGTAATAATTATTAATTGTTTACATTTATCTTTGCTACGATAAAATAAGTGATATATAAAACGTTCAAAACGCTAGTGGTAGTCAACGTATTAAGATATTATTAAAATAAGTATTATAAATTCTATTGAATTATGTAAACTTTAATTTCATTTAGTACATTTAGTGTTATACTTGTTTGTTTTTTGTACCTAAAAGTATTATAATATGAAATAAATATACATATGTACAATTAATTAAATTTTATAATTATTAGAAGACAATAAATTATTAGTTTTCAATATATTTATTTTGGATATAATAAAATTTAATTAGAAAATGAAAAGTATGTAAAAATCTTTATTAAATATGAACATGCAAGTAATGTTGGCATGTACAAAAGTTATATCTTCTTATTATGTTTTATAATTCGAATATTGATAGTATGACACTTTGAATTCGGTACGTTGTTATTTCTATAATTGAAGGACTGAGTTTGAGAACTTAGTCTTTTCATTTCGATCTGTAATTTAAAATAATAATCAATTTGAATTAAAATGTAAAATTATATTTAAAAAATTGAATAAAATTTTAATAAAAAACACAAAAAACGTTGAGATAATGTATAACAATGCAGTTAATTTTATATAAAATTAAACTAAATAATTGCAATAAATATTCATTTTTCTTAAATAAATATTAATTACAATTAACAGTTACATTTCTCTCACATGTGTCTACTTATCATTAGCTAAATAAAGCAAAAGAATTATATTAATTATTAATATAATTAAATAACTTAATAACAAGTAAACAAACCGTTGCACGTGATTTATTGGAACTGGCGGACAGTATTTTAGTTTTTGACTGTTTAGATTTCGAAATTTCTTTCCAATTAGTGAATGTAATTGAACTACATTGTTTTAAATGCTCTTTATGATCATTATTTTTATAATTATTTATTAATGTAGATTTTAACATTTCATTTGATGATTTTCTTTTTCTCATCGTTAAATAATTGTAAATAGAAGAGGTTTTCTGTGATGAAAAACTTGATGTACTTGTCTTCACCTTTCTACCAAGGAAAATTGTTTGAGCTTCTTTTTTATGTTTGGTATTATAGACAATCTGATTTTTCGTCGTATACAAACGCGTTACTACAAAATAATTATAATCAATTATTAAGCATCTTATAAATAAAAAATAAATTATAATTCTTATTTTAATATGTTGTAGAAAAACCGCAGAAATTACAATATTCATTTTTTGGTTTCTCTACAATATTTCCTTTGTGAGATGTTGTATCATTATATTTTTTAACGGTTTGGCGAGTAGATTGTGTTTCAGTATTATTCAAGAGCCTTAACTTCAAACAAAGATTACCTTCACTATTTACATACTGAGATGCTACTGCATGTTTTGAAGAAACCTATGGTGTGAAATAAAATTAATAGATATTATAATTATGACCAAGAAGTAATACAAATTAAGTAAAAACTATTCATATATTTTTGAAAAATAATTTGAAGTTGCTCTTCTTAAAGTGATTATTTACCATTTATTCTATTTATGTATTAATTTTTTGTAACAACAATTGGTAAATATTTAGATGTTTGTTCTCTTCACCGATTTCAACAACCTTGAAATATGTTGTCAAACACATCATTTTGAACAGATTTATCCTACATATATATATTATACATACACGCAAAATATATGTGGCATATTATTGTTTTTCTTCACTTATTAGAGTTATTTCGTATAATATATCGAAATTAGTTTCATTTAGATAATCAAAACCGGTATTATATATATTCTGCTCTTCCGTTCCTCCACATTATCGCATCATAATTGTCAATAATCCTATCAAATTGTAAGGAAGTTTCCAGTTATGAAATGATTAAGGGATTAAGGGCTTAGGGGGTTGAAAATACTATTGAAAATAAAGCTGTTTTAGTTCTACTAAAACCAATCTCTGTTATCTAAATGAAACTCGTATGTACCTGTGTATTATAAAAGCCATCAATAATTAACACTTTGAACGCCGCACGATTTTATAGAGCAAAATACACAAAATGGAAAAAATACAATATTAAATCATTTGACCGAATTGGATTATAATCCAATTATAATTGTTATCATAGCACCTTCATCAAACTGAATGTCACCGCAATGGGGAGCATTATTTATAATATAGAAATGTTTGCGAATAATCGTCGTCTAATTGAGTGAATTATAGTAATTCGATTTGCTTGGGGGTCACCGGTGACCCCCATGGCATTCAACGTGTTAAGTGAAGGTGAACAAGAAGGATTTGAAGGTAATGTGAAATTTTAATGCTTTAAAACTTGTGAACCGTGATGCGAAACATTAAAAACTTTTGAACCAATAATCCCTGTCAACAAATTTTAAATGTTATGTACGCATAATAATTATCTTAACAATATATATCAAAGTCAAGGTTATAGAAGAGCTTGTCCTTTTTCTAATTAATTATGATAGCATCCCTTTTCCGGACATATTTTTTGCGAATATCCTCTTAAGAACTAAATGTGACAGTATATATAAAAAAGAAAAAGCTGTTCGGAATGGCTTCCCTAACAACATATTTCAAGGTCATTGAAATCGATGAGCAGGACAGACATCTAAACAAGTTAAACAATTTGTTGTAGAAAAAAATTACAAATTGTCTAGTTATGGCGTATCGTGTTAAACTACAGAAAAGATGATAAATGTAATTCAAATGTGTCAGATTTTTAGAAAATATTTATATTTAAATTAATATCGAACAAAAACGGAAACTATGATTATTTTATTTAAAAGTCCAGTGTGTTTTTTACTTTCTTATTAATCGGTTATATGTATTACGTGTACGTTTTCGTTTCTGTTCCTGTCTGTCTAATGTATTAAAAAAAGAGTGTTGACTTTGTATGAAGATCCAAAATCTATTGATTACATATACAAAACAAAATTTAATGTAATACAAATACCAAGTTTTGGAACAATCCCTGTTTTTTTTGGTCTTTCTTTGATAAATGTTGTAATATATCTTTTGTGTACGCAGTTATTTTATTTGTAATATTAAACAAATCACTGTACTCTCTTTTAAGCTGTTCAACTAAATAGCTTTTTGTTTCTGAAATAGATGTTTCATGACCATTCTGACTTAAAAGCTTGCATGATATACCCACATCTTTTACTAAGACCGTATCTGAACATTGTGTACAGTGCTTACTACTCCTATAAGAAATGTTTATACAATTGATTATTATAATGACATGAAGATTAAGTTAAAAAACAAGAATTAGATAATATATCATAAAATGTAAATTTATATTTATTTATAATTAAAATATAGACGTTTATGCGAATTTGCATTTTTACAGGCTAATTGAAGAAACCAAAAAGTTAATACAAAATTTAACACGTTGACGCCGGAAATTTTGAGAAAATTTGCATGGCAATTTGTACCAAATACCAAGTCAATTTAATGATCTATATATTTGATGGTACACACTGTTTGACACCACATTCAAGTGTGATCCACCGATGGTACATCCCGGCGTCAACGTTATGTTAACTGTTATTTTATTAAATTAAAAAGAAAGTAAAGTCTCTTTCAAAGTTTATACAAAGTTTTATGTTATTGTGGTTTATTCAACGTAGTTTACCTATAATATCGTAACTTTATATATTAGTACACTAGGTATTGTAAAATAATGATAGAAGTTACCTATAATAAGGAAACTGACAAGTATCAGTTACTATATCACTGCTGATTTCATCACATATATCATTTTGCATCAGTAGTCCTCCTTCACAGTCATTTTCATTTGTATCATTTTTATTGTTATAATCAAATGAGCATATTAAGCTTCTACGAACAATATTGTCCCTTCCTGACATTTCATAATTAAAGTTCTTTGAGTGGTTACCAGTGATACAATATTCCTTCATTTGTGGTATGATGTTAACCAATGCATCTCCTGCTTCCGGAGAAGCAATAAGGGTACCCATCTCAAAATTATGATTGTTGATTGTTAAATTATGAAGTCAATCGGTAAAATAATTTACTAACACATCTTGTCTAATAACATTTCAATTTCTTTAATATATAATTGGTAATAATGTAGTATGATGTTACCAAGTATTAAAAATAAAGTCTATTCATACGGCAATAGAAACATAGATGATCTATTGTATAAATTACTGAAATCCTAAATCTTCTCTGTCCCATCACAGAAAAACACAGACACGTTTTTATTTCTTGCTTATACTTCTGCCAAGTTTTGGAAATGTCCATGACATAACGAAACCTCAAAATTACCGATCAATTTAAAGTGTTTATCGTCTGAATAAGGTTTCACTTAGGTTGTTAAAAATATAAAACAAAGCACAATTAATGTTTTGTAGACTATTTAAGAACAGTAGAATTGCTATGTTCACGTTGAATAAAATTATATTTTCATCACTAAGAATTTTCAATTAAAACACTTTTAATTAGAAAATAAGATTAATACAACAATGAAAGAGATTGCACTTGCAAATAATTGTAACTTTAGAAATACTAAAAATATTTTCATATGATATACGACAATAATTAATATTTTAATCTTATATAGGTGATATAATTTATGATATGTAAAATTAAAAATTAAAATTTCTCTTTTTAATAGATGAAATATGTTCCCTTTCTTATTAAGAAAATTTTTTAAATAATTATAAGATATTTAAGCATAGGTGTAAGGGCACTTGATATGGAACACCATATTTTAAAAGTTTGCAAAAACGATTGCATTTTTTCAATGAAATCTGCACCAAAAAACGAAGAAATTAATAAAGATTCGTTTACTAATCGATAATAATACAAAAATTTAAATACCTCGAAACTATAATTGCAAATATAAATAAATTTGACGATAGCGAATTGTAAGATTCGAGCACTAAATTTGAGCACTTAAGAAATTTTTAAAAAGAATTCAATTTTACAACAAAAAATAAATATTTATCGAATTACGATGGTTAAATAAACAAATCTCCCACTTGTTTTAATTAATTTTATGACAATGACACATCCGGAGTGCAAATATCAACAGTGTAATACCTAGCTGTAATTGAAACAGTGTAAATGAATAATAACGCGGATAAATAGGCGTAAATAAATAAGTGAATTTTCTACAATGACTCGCTAGAAGAATCTTTGGTAATTATTTACGTCAGTGAGTTCTCACCGATTTAAATGACCTTGAAATACGTTGTCAAGGTCATCATTCTGAGTAATTTCCGGTTAGCCTTATTTTTCTGAGATCTATGCAAAAATATTATTATTTACAAAAACAGTAACCCTTATATGGCCTTGTGACCTTCACATATATTGTTAAATTACGTTATTGTAACATATATTGTTCTGTACACTAGCACTTTGGACTTCTTGGCACTGATTATCGGTTTAAATTTATGAAGCATTAATGTTTTACGTCGCAAACAAAATTTTCGTCTTTATTTTCATCTATTAAAGTTGATTCTTATAATATGTGTACATGAACTTCATTTAGGTAATACAGATCGGGACTGGCTCCGCCTCTCTCCTTCCATGTATAAATAAAGTTCAATATTACATTTTTTCATACAAAAATTAACTTAAATATAAAGCCCAGTTAAAAAATACTTATATTATCGCTGCATAATATATAGAAATTACATATTTTAATTTAAATAATAGACACGCGCGCGCGCGTGTGTGTGTGTGTGTGTGTGTGTGGATCGGGGATAATATATGGGGATATAGAAAATTTTAATGAATAACTGCGTTTATTAATAATAAAACAAATAATGTTTAAAGGAACACACAACTAAAACAACAGACAACTTACTCCTACGAAGGTCAACGTACCACTCTCTCTGGGCACGGACTTTCTTTCACACTAAAAAATCATTCTCTCCCCCATAATCATTTTTCTTACTCGCATCCTCAATAAACTCTCAAACGCACCCCTCCAAAGCCGAACTGGAAATCTTAAGTCTGCGACGTTATGCAGGCCACTTTCCCTCACTCGTTAGGCTTTTCTCTTTTATTGCCCTTCGCTTACACTCATTCTCGCATTCACGTTTCTTAAAAATATCCTAAATTATGCTAAAATCCTAAATAGTATAATATTAGTAAGGCTAGTCTTCCTAGAGAGGAAGAAGGTGCAGAGTAAGAGGTAATCTTCTGCTTATCCACATTGTTACTTCATAATTGCAGAAATTCTTCGAATCTGATATAATTATTAACAATTATAAAATCAAAGCTTGGACGGGGAAGAGTGGAGTTTGCAGCCCCACCCTGGAAAAACTGGAGCCACTAATACCAATCTCCATTATCTAAATGAAGCTCACGCACACGTATTGTAAGAAACAACTTTAGTAAATGAAAGTGAAGACGAAAATTTTGATCGCGGTGCGAAACTTTGACGCGTCATAGCTTTTAAACCAACATTTATCGTCAAATAGTTTAAAGTATTAGGTGTTCAGAACAATGACCTTAACAATATATGTAAAGGTCAAGATCATACGAGGCTCACTGTTTTTATAAATAAGTAAATTAACGTATACTAATAATAAAGAAGTGGAGTGGTAGGATATTTATATCCAACATATGCGAATTTCTCATCTTTGTTTGTAAAATACAGAAAATGATCCAAAATTTTCTCGAAACATTTTGTGGACAAATGAATGTACATATTCACATACATACAATTAAATTCAAGATTTCTGGTGTGAGTTGTATGTTTTTCAAGAAGATAATTCAACATTCAGTAAACATTGTATCTGGTTTCAATCTAAAATAAAAATAAATGGCGTACTAACAATTTTTAAATATAAATCATTGGATTATACTAGTTTGATGTCTAGAGCGATCACTTTTTGCGCGAACGCATACATATATACAATAGGTATATTTCTCAGAATCTGAAGGCAAGTTAACCAATGGCGTTTTCTCACATTCTATAGAACTGTCAGTGAATCAGTGGCGTAATCTCACGTGAAGCGCGAATGACTTTTAAAATTACTATGTTCCTCCGAAGACAATATTTCTTTATCAAAACGTTTGACCAAATAATTATTCCTAACTTTTAAACATATGTATTCAACGCGTTTGTATAAATATATGCTCGAGCTCATTTATTTATCTTTACTTTTTATTATCATTCTATGTCAAATTTTCCTTAATTATAATGTAAAAGTATAGTATTAGTATATTTTACACAACATTTAATATATCTTGATCAGGTTTTACTAATTCTAGTTTACAGTAATATAATATACAACAACAACAACAATATTAATATAATGATAATGATAATAATAATAATATAAAAGACATTTGCTAATAATTAATCGTAAACTGGAGCAGGACACTTATAAAGATATTTATAGCAAAGAAACAAATAAATTTCCGCCAATGTTTATTATCTGGTTTCATCGCATTAACTTGTGTAAAGGTAGACCACGTTCTTCTGTTCACGTTCTACGCCATTGAGACACGTTCTTTCACTGCGATCGGCATGGCTGCCGCGTTGGTCGCAACTCAGGTACAGTCGTTGCTTGGTCCGCGAGCGACATCGTTGCGGAATCGAACACCGTTTTTCGATTAACACTCCTTGATCTTCGCGTTTCTTTGAAAAAAAAGTGATCGATAAAAAACGATAGTCGGCTCTCCAGATTAGTGAGGATTAACCGAAGAAACTCTGTTGAAAGTCGAACGAAAGACGATCACGACGAATGGATTACGAATATTTACAGAAATAAATTTGAAAAATATCCTATACATTAATCTATGGAAGTGAGAGTCATATAACAAGTGGATATATTTTTTAATGATACCGGTGGTGCACGAATAAAATAAAACTTAAATCAGTTCACGTTATAAAACTAATTTATAAAGGATAAACCGTCATTATCATAATATGTTACATCTGTAATATGTTATATAATATGTTACACCTTTAATATATCATATGAGATATTCATTTCTGTGTTCTGCGGACATTTGACTATTGAATTATTTGTTAACGTATTTAACAAAATGTATGCTTATTATATCCTATAATACTATTCTCCACTGCCTAATACATTCCCTGTATTTTATACATACATTTTACAGTGTATGTAATATCGTTACATGGAAAATATAAATATGGGTAAGAAAGACTCGATACCAGCTGGTCAGAAATTAAGCTTTCATAAGTTCTCCATATCATCGTGCTTCGAACGTAAATACGTAAAATACAGTTGATTTTCGAAATTTACGACGGCTACGACTCCCTGGTTTTCATTAATCCCTGATCGACAGCGATTTATGGATTTTGCTGGAGTTAGCACGAACGAACACTCCGATACTTTTATCGGGAACATATCGGATCGAGCAACTTTGTTTCAAGATATTACAAATAGTTCCTAATCCGTTTTCCCTTAATAAACATACATTACCGATGGTCCGGTGCAAGATTACAATTTCGCCGAAACTGTAGATAATTAATTTGAAAAGTAAAATGTATCGCATTCGGGACTGGTTTACCGTGATTTCGCATAAGTGATTCGGCGTGGGACATGACAATCCTGAGGAATCGTCACGTAGTGAGTAGCGACTACTAGAAGACCAGTGTGACTGATGTGTGCAAGGAATGATCGATTCGTGAGAGTAAGGCAGATGGTAGCGACGGAATTGACTGTCAAGGTGTTTGAGGATCGTGGCTCGATTTGGGAAAATCGAAGAGGATCAACGTTTAACGTATTGTTGGTCGATGTAGCGCAATGTTCATCAAATCGGCCATAATTGTCACGGCGCTGTGTCTATGGACTACAGTCGGTAAGATATATTGTTCTCTGTGCGAAGCAATATTTATATAATTTATAAATCGGATGAGATACATGGATCAGACTAGAATGGTTTATTAACGCGTATCTTATCGACAAATATAACAAAAATCAGTTTCTAATACCTATGTATAACAATATGCACGAAAGGTATAAAATATATATTTATCAATGTTAAATAATGACGCTTTAAAATATAAAAATTACGGAATACGTAGTTGTGGTTTTAGACTGCTATTCGTTAAAGTAAATTACAAATTCTTCATCATTCATACATTTGATAGTTTTACGTTTATTGTAAAGAACATTAACGTGATCTCCTTTAAACTCCGAAAACAAAATTACAAATTTTAATGTTTTCCATTTGTTGCAACGAACGTTTCTCATTCAAACATTGAACAATTATTCGAATATGTATTTTGATAATTCTATTGAAACTGATATTTTTTTAATTTATACAGAAACAATTAAGCTCCTTTCTTTGCATCTACCCTATCAGTCAATACAGATGGTAGAAATCTAAAATTAAGTATATCTTTACTATGGGTTAGTACAATAAATTGTCTATAGAAAGTTAGTATAGTTTAACGGCACTTTTGATTCTCTCATTTAGTTGTACCCCTTCATAATTCTTCTTTAAATAGTTTCATCGTGGATCGAACATTAACAATATGTTTAATATTGTATTGTTATTGTGTTATTCTGTAAATAACAAGTAATGTATAATGAATGAATAGATTCGATTTTTTTAATTGATTCTTCGTTAAAGAATAATGCGATTCAAATTGTAAATACTTCAATTTTATCTATAAATCGTAAAGGTTATATTAAAAGGTTTAAATTCATACAGGCATATACTGTGTAATGTGTCTTTATATAATATGTAACAAACATTTTAGTAATGTTTAGTAAGTTTAATGAATTTTATAAGTATTTATATACTG